TTGCAACTAGATTGATAGCGTCCGTGGTGTTTTATCTCTGAACCGATCAAAGGAAGAGAAAACGTAAGTTATATGTATTACAAAATAACGTATTGAATATTTAAGTATTGTAGTTATAAAGTCAACATTTTTACATACATATTCTTTTTAATATTGAATGAATATAATTATGCTTGATACTACACATGATGTAGAAAACTGAATGAATGGTCACCTTATCAATGCTGCGTATATAACCTTGCCCCCACTCCTAGTTCACAGTGTCATACCCCTCCTCTTCATTCTGTAAAGATAATCTATCCATCACATCAAAATACATTTCATCGTCACTATTGGATGCTAAAGTCACTGAAGTACTTTCTGATGTATAATATTCTTCATCAATATAAGCATCATCGTCGTCGTCGTCAGAAATCTTACTCTGCGATGACAAGATTTGTTCTTCCTCATCATCAGTGTCTGATGGCATATGTTGTAAATGAAAAGAAGGTTTTAGCCATCTTTTAAGTGCCATCACATTTTCAAGTACACAATTTTCTGACCAACCAGGTTGATGATAAGAACAGACAGTGGGTCTTCGAAATCCTGGTTCGTGTAAAGAAGGACAACCCATTTCCTCTTAATCAAATACGTGAGCCACGTATCGTGAGAGCCACTCTACCTTCTGCCGTCCCTTAACATAGATTCTGACTGAATCATCGTCAGAAGCTGAACGACCTAAGTTCTCTATAATTTGAGGATGTTGATCGTACGGTATATTGCTTGCATTCCAATCGATTCCATGGAAGTTTTGCATGAGCCAGGAGTTCTCTCTTTTCGAATGACTGGGAAGATCTTCCCAAGGACATGGTGGTGAAAAAATAAAATGAGATGGTGTCAAATGGTCATTGTTGAGATTGATGACTGCAAGCTCTTTGAATACATGTTCATTTTTTAACTTGAAAGCTTGTACGTCAACGACAATTTCCATAGCGAATCTACAATGAAATAGCGGAAAAAATTAGTCTTTTTTATGAAATGAAGAGTTAGAGTATGTATTGAATTTTTTTCTTACTGTATAAAAGGTAGACAACGTGCCAAGATTAATATGCTCAATCAAATGAATTAATGATTAATAAGTCAATGAAATTTATATATTTTTCCCCCCACTCAATCTGTAACCCCTACTACAGAGCTTGGTTATATCCTTTTTTACACATGAAAACATAAGAAAAAAAATCCAAGTTCTTGTTATAGTGCTCGTTGTGATAAGTAGTACAGCGCTAGTCACTCTGCGCGCGCATAATACAAAGTCCTCTGGTTATGCGCGAATCAGTCAACTTATGCGCGTAAGACAGCGTCCATAGCTATGTTCCTTTAAGAATGAAAAAAAAATTCTAAGTTCTCATTGTAGTGCTCACTGTGATAACACACAAGTTCTGCATACCTTGCTGATGTATATATCAGAGTTCATTTCAGCGACTCAGACCTCTTACGCTTAATGCGTATGCTGCTAAGTCCAGAGTTAGTCTACAGCGCTAATTCGGTATAGCGTAGCGGTTAATAAGTCAATGAAATTTATATATATTTTTTTCCCCATTCAGTCCATAACCCTATTACAGAGCTTGGCTATATCCTTTTTTAAGCATGAAAACACATGAAACTATCCAAGTTCTTATTATAGTGCTCATTGTGATAAGTAGTACAGCGCTAATCACCTTGCACGCGCATAATACAAAGTTACTTTCAGTGCACGCTTTTCGTCGAAGCGACTAAGATCTTATTATATTTAATGCGTACGTAGTCAACTGTCTTTATACGTAGGAGAGTCGATCTCGTATTCTGATGACTAAGTCCTCGCTCTACACCGCTCCCTGTGTTGACGAAGTACAACAACGTCAATCAGCTTGCGTGCGCGCTGAGTTCATATTTCATCTTAGCGACTAAGACCATATCGAATGCATCCGCAGCTTAACATATACACGGTCGAAAGAAAAAACTTAAGTACGCGCCTACAAAACGTCAACCCAACCTTTCTATAGTGATACACTAATTCTATGCGCTCAGAATACAGCAAAGTCCCTTTAAATGCGTTTGAATGGCACACCGCTAGTTAGTCGCGGCTAGGTCAGAATGGACTTAGTTCGTGCGCCAGCACTCGCCACTCATAAGAGAACTTAGTCACGTGAGTCTAATATAGTGTTAGCCGTAGAGCAGTATAGCTATGAGCCATGTGCTCATGTTTACACCCCCACCCCCTACACATACACATATTCATGAATTATTATAAATGAATGCACATCATGCGCACACGTCAATTGATGGTTGAACAGCCTCATGTCTGCACCATACCGACTGTATGGTCAGCGCGCTTAATTTGACTTTGAACATTTTAAAAAATTCATAAGCATTGGTACTTATAAATTAGCAGTTTGATTAAACCTTGTTGATTATAAGTATCAATGCACTCGATGTAATAGACTTTTTCTTAAAAATTTTTTTGAAGTTCATGAGAAACTTCTAATTTGAAAAAAGGTAATTAATCTTATTAGGACTTAGCGCGTACATGCATAAAAATAAAAAGGTTTTAGTTGCGTGCGAGTATAACGCTGCAGGATCTGAGATCTGAATGACTCTGAGTGCAGCTACGCGCCATAAAGTAGCCTTTGATCTTCTATATATATGCTGCACACGCATACTCACACATCTTTGCACCAGTGCGAGCGCGTATAGTTTGAAACTCTATGTCATAAAAATTTGAGACGCTGCGCTATAGCTCGAGTATTCCAATATTTTCAAAACAAAAATAAAACATTCCATGTAGTTTAATTTGAAAGAAATATAAATTTAGCATCAGTATAAAGTAATTTATTGTGCAGTTCAAACGTGTGTGAAAGACAGAAAGAAAAAAAAATGCGGTATTTCTTTATTATGGACATATGTAAACGTAATAAATTGTGAAAGAGCAAGTGAACATAGGATTGATCCGAGAATTCATCATTTGAAGATACCTCCTTTCCATCTACGTACTGTAAGTATATTTATGAACTAAAAATTTATATTTTTAAGAGTAGTTTTAAACAGCATCATAATTATTTTATGTTTTCAGGCACCAGAATTCCACCAACGTACACGCTATGAGAATAATGACGTTGGAATGCAAACTGATGAAATAATGTCAGTGGATCAAACGGTAGAAATCAGAATTTTAGAAGATACAAAATCTGTTGGTGTGCAAGTCGGTGAAGTTACTACATGTAGCGTCAATGTAAGTATTGACATATTAAAATGTGTAAATTAATAGAAGCTTGTGAAGTAAAGTGTTTTTTTTATTTTAGTATGTATCACAACCTATTGCTCAAACCAGCGAGGTTACATGTGATGTTGAAAATGTGAGTGTTGTAATTTTACAATTAATTATAATTTTAGAAGCTTGTGGAAGTTAAGTTATTATGTTTTCAGCAGTCTGCTATTCAGAGCAATAGAGTCAGCATTAAAATGTCTGATGTACTGAATAGTGAGGCTAATCATGCTACTAATAGTCAAGTGAGTGTAATAAAATCATTAAAAAATTATATATATATATATATATATATATATATATGGGTCATTCTAATACTTCTCGTCAAAACCGTGCGCACGGGGTCAACCGATTTTGACGCCAATTTTTTTCTAGATTTCATATGTCAAAATATGACGTCTTGAATTTTTTCAGATTTTTTTAAGCAGATCTAGGGTCCCTAGATTTTTTCAAAGTCCCTAAATCGACCAAAAATCGGTCAAAAAATGGCCATTTTCAAAGTGTCATAGAATCGTCAATTTTGAAGCTACAGTAACGGGCGAGAGATCATTCTCTTTTTCTTTTTAAGAGCTTTCCATTGGTATATTTCAAAATAAGTTTATGTGACCCGGAAGTAGCTAAACGGCCAGGAACGTAAAGCACATTTTATTCGATTTCCTCTTATCTTTAAAGCTCTGTAAAATTGTCAATTTTGAATATTTTTCATCGCACAAGACACCATTTTTTTGGTCTTTTCAAGACAAAAAAAAACAAGTCTTCATACGTAAGAAAATGTTCAAAATTGACGGAGATACTGCCCTTCCAAGTTTGCAATTTTAGCAAAAAACGCATTTTTTGCGATTTTTGAGTGCAGTTTTCAATACGTTTACCTATTTCTTTTGAGCTAAAAATTTCAGGAAATGTTCCAGAAGTGTTCAGAAATAGGGGGAAAAAAGTTCCGTAATTGGCATCGGGCTCCATCAAACGATAAATGGCATGTATTTTCATCAATTTTTTTATGTTTTTCCTCTATTCTTAAATAATTATGGAATCCTAAAAAAAAAATTTTTTCCTCTTTTCTTTGTCAATTACATTGCAAATGTTTTTCTGGTTATCGATATTTATAATATTTGGTTTTAGAAAGATAATTTAATTTGACCAGACATATATTAAGTTATGCAAAAAAAAACATTCAATTGATGTATACGGTAACTAAAATATTTTAAAATATTTAATGAATCAAAAAATTTGGAAATCGTCTTCGTCAAATTAGTGAAATATCAATTAGATTTTGATAAAAATTCGAACATCACATCATTTGTAATATCAGAAAAATGTTCAATTTCTACATGTATTTATGAATGCTCAAAAATAATATATGTACAATTTAAAAAAAAAGAGATGTCAAACCGCAAATTAAAAAAAAATATATTGACACTAACACTCTTATGTATATTATCCTCTATCTGTTAAATAATTTTGGAATCCTGAGTATTTTTTTTCATTATAAGTGTGTAAGTATAGCAAATTGATATTTAAAGGATCGCACATTTATAATAATCATTTTTCTGAGTCCGAAACAGTTGTCATTTTTGATCCATCAGAGGGCGACACGAGGTAATGAAGTAGCGAATAGGATCACTAGACGCTTCTGCGTTTATTTTATATTCGTTGCTAGCATGCAGCTTCTCTGTCTAAACCGTGTTTTTACTTGTGTTCTACCGTTGCATTCATTGTTTACTTGACTTCGTATTTAATTTCTGTATAAGTTAACTTGTACTTTTTCACCCTTGTTCTTGTCAATCATATTTATTGTAGAATTTTTTTCAGTTTTAAGGGCCATCCCATCCTCTTCATTAAATTAACTTAAAAGATTAAAAACCATTGTTGACGTTTCGCAAATCATTTATTGCCACTTCAGAATTATATATTTTATTTACACATTGTAGTAAAGTTTTTTATGATGATAGTTTAATAACATAATGTTCGTAAATATTGCAAGTAATTGTTAAGAAGTACATGTTTATTAAAGTGTACGACAGATTCATAACGGTACATAGAACGAATCTGTCGTACATTTTAATAAACATGTACTTCTTAACAATTACTTGCAATATTTACGAACATTATGTTATTAAACTATCATCATAAAAAACTTTACTACAATGTGTAAATAAAATATATAATTCTGAAGTGGCAATAAATGATTTGCGAAACGTCAACAATGGTTTTTAATCTTTTAAGTTAATTTAATGAAGAGGATGGGATGGCCCTTAAAACTGAAAAAAATTCTACAATAAATATGATTCTGTATAAGTTCATTGATTTAAGTTCGCTGCAATTAATCATAATATCAACGTACCATTATGACGTAGAAATTGAAAATAATAAATTTTTTTTTAATGCTAGTGCAAAGTGATAAGATGTCAAATGAAAATAGCTGCTCTATAAGTGATCTTGTAAATGAAGAGTGCCATAAAGAAAGATTTCGTGCAAATAAGGATATATACAAAATCGATTCTCTGACTGTAGAAGATTTACAGCTTCTTTCTTTAAGAGTACCAGGATTTAACAGTCTTGAAAAAAAATCCATTTGTGATTATCATCACAAGAAATATATTAAATTTTATTCACATGCTGAGCGTTATTGTTGTGATCCTTGTAATGTACATGATAAAAACATATCAAACACTTTGACCATTATTGACTTAAAATTAGCAGAAAAAATTTTAAAAAGCTGTGATCGTCAAGTTATACCTGGTAAAAAATTATGTAAACATTGTAAAGATGATTTTTCAACAAAAATTAAAAATTTTGAAGAAAAGTTTAAATACTGTATTGATCCATTTCAAAAGCATAGAACAAAAGTTGATGATGATTTAATTTTTTTGAAACAAGAATATATAAATTATTTATTGAATGTCCACAAAACTTCTTTTTGCTTGGAACATAAGGTGTGCAATGCTTGTAGTGTTCGCTTGAATTCTGACATGTTGAAATATCAACAATCTTCAAAAGCTGAATTTAAAGGTACACAATCCAGTCCATTAGTATGTAATGAAAGTCAAGAAATTAGCAGCACAGAGAATACACCAGGGTTTACTCATAGTTCTTCGAGTTCTGAATTCACATCAAACAGTCAGAATAAACGAAAGCTTGCCCAAATGCTTGAACCTTTTGATATAACATTCAAGCGCCAAAAGTTGAATGATGATCGTATTATAAATGAAGGTGTTGGTATTTTACAAGATGTTGTAAACCAGATATCCCAGGTTTTTCAAAATGCACATGAGGTCGAGTTACCCAAATTCAATAATATCAAACAAATGTCAAATGAAGGCAATTGGTTTCAAGAGATTGTCACTAATATTCAAAAGAAATATCATGCTCCTGCAACAAATTATAATGAGAAAGTTTCTTTATTGACACTCTTGCCTACTACTTGGAAATATTCAGATGTAAAACTGTACATTCCATGCAGCAGATACATGTTTAGTGAAGCTAATAAATTGAGAGAAAAGACTGGTAATCATAATAAATTTGCATTATTTTTATATTTAACTTAATTTTTTCATATTTATTTATTTGTACTTTAATTAAATCAAAAATATTTAATTAAATACAAAGTACACTATGCATTGCATATTACTCAAGCCCTTCTGGTCATGAATATTGCTTAATCTTTTAAACCTTAAAAATGAAATTTCAACACATAGTACTTCAACTTTTATTTTGACGAAGATCAATTCAATTGTGTTATTTATTCCAAATAATTATATTCAATCATTTGAACTCTCCAGATTTGAACTCTTTGTAATTGAATTATTTCCCATGGTATAAAAGTAATATGAATAAAATCGTGATATTTAAAAAATATTAATGTTGAATTTTAAAAAAATGCATGAAGGAAAATACATTAAAGAAGTTCCATACCTCATAAACTAACTTTTTTTGTGGAAAACTTATGAACTTTGGACCCCTACATTCTACATAAAAAAAATATAAAAATAAATAAGCTATTTTCAAGCCAAATTTCAAAATTTCAACGCGTTTTCATATTTTTTTCACTCTGGGTTTAAAAGTTTGCTTTTTCACTAACAGAATAATAGTTACCTCATGGGAAATTTTCTTCACTGAACTTGCACTGAATTACACCACGATTTGTTCATATACATTAAAGAGTCAGTGGTAATAGACCACATTTTAGGCAACAAAAATAATTTAACCTTTTTAATTGTAGCAAGACAGATAATAATCTTATTTTCGATTATTTGAATTGATTGAATAAAATTTTGCGCATGAACAACTAAACTTCAAACAATATGACTGCGTATTTTTATTTTAAATATATCACGCATAAATGAATAACTTAATGAAAAATATTATCCCTTCATATTTCAAGAAAAATATTTCAAGAAAAATATTTTATTTTTACATTGTGGTTGCACTTTGTCACTGTTACGGTCATAAATTTGTAAAACATATATGAATTCTTAAGGACATTTCCCTGTATATTAAAGTAATAACAGAATTTGATAAAACTGGAATATATAAAAGTTGAGAGTATTCTGAATGTAATGTGATTGTCTTTAACCCATGTTATAAGGCTACATTTTGAAAAATATGAAATTGAAAATGGTATGTTGAACATTGGCTCTTATGGGGCAGCCTTGAAAATGCTTGCAAAAAGTACGACGGAAATTACAGAGGTTAACAAGTTTGGGAGAATAGATAGAAAAACGTTAATGGAATAATACTTCAAAGTTTGAGCAAATGTTATAATGCTTTTTATTTGAATATCAATTAAAAAAACACTGAAATTTTCTTGTTTTATTTCATGCTCGAAATATTTGTATGAACGATGCTGTGTTTATTGTTAAGCACACTTATCTTAAGAGAGTGTCTATTCCCGGTTCCGATCAAGTTATTTCAGTAGATTTTTATTTCAATATAAAACAAAACCATGGTGAAAGGTTCAGCAAAATCCATGATCCAAAGTGTTAGTTTTTCATTATAGATGTATAAAAATTATGTCTACTATTTGTGACTAAATTTATAGTATTTCATATAAATTAACAGGTATTTTGAGCCTACGAAAAAGAAAAACGTATTGGAAGTACTCTCCCGAAGTAAGAAAAGAAATTGTTAATTTCTATTTAGATGACACAAATAGTTCACAATGCAGTGGAGCAAAAGAAAAAATCACAGTAAAAGTCACAGGTCAACAACCACAAGTCTTCCAAAAAAGAATTATGTTGTACGACCAGAAAGATTTATACAATAGCTGGAAAGAAATTACTACTCAATCTTCTATTCCATGCCTAGCATTTTTTTGTCAGTTACAGCCGCCATATTGTTTTTTTGCCGGAGAACCGGGTACACACAACATTTGCGTTTGTTCTACTCATGACAATGTAAAACTTAAAACTGCAGCTGTCAATCCCAAGATTAGCTACAGAGAAGCTATTGCAGCTTCAGTTTGTTCAACAAATAATAAATGTTGCATGTTCCGCAAATGCAATAGCTGTCCATCTCAAGATAGCGTGTATCAATTTCTAAGCGATGGCATCGATATTGAGTCAATGCGAAATGTAAAATATACAATTTGGAGCACTACTAAAGTAGCTGGTAATACTTCAGAAAATACTTCCTTCAGCAAAATATCTCTTATAGAGTGTGACGAACCTTTCGAGGTGCTTTTAAATACTACTTCTGAAGATATATACAACTTAACTCAGCACCATTTTATTTCTTCTCAACAAAAAGACTATTATTGTCAATGTCGCAAAACACTAGATCGATTTACTGCAGTACTTATTATAGATTTCGCCGAGAACTATTCATTCATAGCTCAAAATTCACCCCAAGGACTTTATTTCAACAATGTGCAGGCTACATTGTTTACTGGAGTATTATACTATAAAGATAATGGGACTGGTGACGTGTCATGCCAAAGTTATTGCGTAATTTCGGACAGTAAAACTCATCAAGCATATTCTGTAAATGCATTCCAGGAAGCTATTCTCAATGAAATAAAGCAAGAGTTTCCTTGGATAACACAGCTTATTTATTTCAGTGATGGAGCTCCAACCCAGTTTAAAAATAAGTAAGATATAATACTATTTATTCAAATATATAATTTTTATAGATTTTGCTAATTATTGTTGACTGTGATGGCCCTCCACCCTTATGTCGTTTTTAAATTTCTTTGATTTGATAAAGAGATTCTTGAACTTTAAGAGATCTGGAAACAAATGTTCCAATTTAAAAAAAGATCGTTTTTAAATGTTAAATTGCTAGAAGAGAATACATAATAGTGTTAGAGTAAATGGATTCTCCATTTTAAATTTGCGGTTTGACATTTCTTTTTCTTTCAAAATTGTACTTGTATTATTTTTGAGCATATATCAATTGAATGTTATTTTTTTTTAGAAATCACTTGATTAATATCTGCTACCATGAAGAGGACTTTGGTCTAATAGTTGTATCATACAACTTTTTTATGACTTCTCATGGTAAAAGCGCTGCAGATGGCATTGGAGCTGCTGCAAAACGCAGGGCAAGAAAAGCAGCCTTACAAGGGCATTGCATTTTGGATGCCGAGCAGATGTACGATTATCTGAGTAAAACTGACTCTGATATAAAGTATGTTAAAATTATTGAAAAATATTTTTATAATATATCAGATATATTATTGATTCGATAATATTTCAGATATCTATATGTTTCCAATGACGACGTAGAAGCAAGAGGAAAGAAGCTTTCCTCCAAGAAGGATAGTAGATTCAACAATGCAAAAACTATTAAAAACACTAGGCAATATCACTGTTTTCTACCCATAGACTTAAATACAATGAAAGCTAAACTATATTCTTTTGATACTGAGTTTGACGTTGTTAATATAGCTTAAAAATAAAGATATTTATTTCAATTTACAATTCATTTGATTTATTTTATGAATGCTTGTATGCTGAAGTAAATATATTCTACAAAACCGCTCACAAAAACTATGTATATTTATCAGGTACAATTAAATTATCTTTATTTAATAAAATCACATATTATAAATATCTATAACCAGAAAAACATTTGCAATGTAATTGACAAAGAAAAGAGGAAAAAATTTTTTTTTTAGGATTCCATAATTATTTAAGAATAGAGGAAAAACATAAAAAAATTGATGAAAATACATGCCATTTATCGTTTGATGGAGCCCGATGCCAATTACGGAACTTTTTTCCCCCTATTTCTGAACACTTCTGGAACATTTCCTGAAATTTTTAGCTCAAAAGAAATAGGTAAACGTATTGAAAACTGCACTCAAAAATCGCAAAAAATGCGTTTTTTGCTAAAATTGCAAACTTGGAAGGGCAGTATCTCCGTCAATTTTGAACATTTTCTTACGTATGAAGACTTGTTTTTTTTTGTCTTGAAAAGACCAAAAAAATGGTGTCTTGTGCGATGAAAAATATTCAAAATTGACAATTTTACAGAGCTTTAAAGATAAGAGGAAATCGAATAAAATGTGCTTTACGTTCCTGGCCGTTTAGCTACTTCCGGGTCACATAAACTTATTTTGAAATATACCAATGGAAAGCTCTTAAAAAGAAAAAGAGAATGATCTCTCGCCCGTTACTGTAGCTTCAAAATTGACGATTCTATGACACTTTGAAAATGGCCATTTTTTGACCGATTTTTGGTCGATTTAGGGACTTTGAAAAAATCTAGGGACCCTAGATCTGCTTAAAAAAATCTGAAAAAATTCAAGACGTCATATTTTGACATATGAAATCTAGAAAAAAATTGGCGTCAAAATCGGTTGACCCCGTGCGCACGGTTTTGACGAGAAGTATTAGAATGACCCATATATATATATATATATATATATATATATATATATATATATATATATATATATATATATATATATATATATATATATATATATTTGTAAGAGCTTTTAAAGTCAAATATCTTTTTGATTTTAGCAAATGTGCGCTCCAGCGTCTTACGATTATTTAGAAGTCGTTTCTGCTACCAGTGAACGAAATATAGCTGAAGAAGAGTCTGCCTCAAGATTGCAATTTGATGCTCTGAACAGTATAGCTGATCATGCTGCTTATAGCCAAGTGAGTATCATTGTATATTGTCAGAAGGTTACATCTTATTCTTTTTCAAAAATATTCACAAATTGATATGCTATTTACAGAATGAATTCAACAAAATGTACTTGGAGGTACAGAACATAGAGCAGTCTGCAGATACAGTGCCGGTCAGCCACTTTTACCCCCCCACGGGCAAAATCAGTCTAACTTCAAAGTTTTATATCTCTGGTAGAAATTAACGTACAGAGACGCGCGTGGGTGCGTTTGAAAGGTCTTTCGGAGAGCTTTCAAATAATATGACTCGCGGTTGCCATCGATTGTTTTTTTAAATTTTGCAACAATTATGCAAAATTGAAAATTCTGAAATTTTTTTATTATTTTTAACAATTAGCCAATTTTGGAAAAAAAATCGTACGAAAATTTGAAGTACACCATTTTTTAGCTATTACCAAGCCCTATCTGAATCACTCATCAAAAATTTATTTTCGTCAAATATGACGCGCGCACGGGCATTTTTTCCTGGAAGTGACAGTTTTTTTCAACATTTTTTATCTCCGTCAAATTGTAACAATCGAAAAAAATTTTATAGGAGAACAAATGTTTGTTTTTTCACGTAAAATACTGCAATAATTTTTTTTTCGGTTTTACGAAAAATTTTTTTTTTCGGTTTTTTTCGGTTTTTTCGGTTTACCTTGAAAAATAATTTAAACCGAAAAAAAAAATTTTTCAAAAAACCGAAAAAAAAATTATTGCAGTATTCTACGTGAAAAAACAAACATTTTTTCTCCTATAAATTTTTTTCGATTGTTACAATTTGACGGAGATAAAAAATGTTGAAAAAAACTGTCACTTCCAGGAAAAAATGCCCGTGCGCGCGTCATATTTGACGAAAATAAATTTTTGATGAGTGATTCAGATAGGGCTTGGTAATAGCTAAAAAATGGTGTACTTCAAATTTTCGTACGATTTTTTTTCCAAAATTGGCTAATTGTCAAAAATAATAAAACAATTTCAGAATTTTCAATTTTGCATAATTGTTGCAAAATTTAAAAAAACAATCGATGGCAACCGTGAGTCATATCATTTGAAAGCTCTCCGAAAGATCTTTCAAACGCACCCTCGCGCGTCTCTGTACGTTAATTTCTACCAGAGATATAAAACTTTGAAGTTAGACTGATTTTGCCCGTGGGGGGGGGGGGTAAAAGTGGCTGACCGGCACTGTAGTCAATATACGCCCCTCTCAGATGTAATTATTTTCAATCATATCATGTAATATTTCAATATCTTATATTAATTTTTGTATTAATAGCGTGAGCAGCAGAGGGAAATGGAAAAAAAAAATTATAAACAGGTAATAGACTGATAATAAATTTCAAGTGTATGTGTATACATATATATATAATACTTTCTCAATTATTTATCAAACATTTTTTTTTTCAGAGCTGTGATATAGAAACAGTTGAGGAGTTGGAACCATACGTTCCAAATAATCGTATGACCATTCTACCTCGCATCCCTAAAAAATCTGGATCACAAAATAAATTAGTAAAAGAATGTACAAACACATCAAACACAGATTCACAGTTACTCATACAAAAAGATATTCATAATCAAAATAAAAACTCAACAAGTAAGAAAACAGATCAAACAAAAATTCAACAAATGACAAGACGGATAAAAAAGATAAATCAAACAAAAATTTAACAAGTAATAAGATGGATGAAAAAAATAGATCAAACAAAAAACACTTAACAAATGACAAGTCTGATAAAAAACGTACAGAACTCTATAGACAAACAAACAAAACTAGCAAGGGATAATCAAAAATAATTAATGACATTAAAATAACTCGAGACGTGAAAAATAACAAACTAGACAAAAAATCAGACGCTAAAAGTACACGTAAATCGAGACCAAAAACTAAAAAGCGAAAATCTCCTCCACGTTCAAAATCAATCATTAGCACGACTTCTTACAGTTCCAATGATGACACAAAAACACATACACAACTAAACACCACTTCTCAGTTAAATCTGAATCGAAAACGCTCGAGTTCATGCTCATCTATCAGCACAAAACGATGGAGACTTCATGAATTAACTAAGTTTTCAACTTTTAACCAAAAATGAAATAGTAAATAAGTTGTGATAATTTTGTATGTTTTTATACTGATTATATAATAAAAAGAAATAAAATAAGATTTGTTTTGTGATTCCAATAAATACGAGGTGTGATCAAAAAGTAAGGTGAATTTTTATTTTTCTCAAAAAATATTTATTTATTCATCAATTTTTATTTTATCTCCTTCAAAGTAATCCCCCTCGGATATAATGCACTTGTGCCAATGCTTTTTCCAATCCTCAAAGCATTTCAAAAAATCATTTTTTGTGATCTTGTTTAGTTCATCCTTCGATGCCGTGTTTATCTCCTCAATCGTGGCAAAACGCCGTCCTTTCATGGGCCTCTTCAGTTTTGGGAACAAGAAGAAGTCACAGGGGGCCAGATCTGGGGAATACGGTGCCTGTGGCATCGTTACTGTGTCGGTTTTAGCCAAAAATTCGCGCATAAGCAACGATGTGTGAGCAGGGGCGTTATCATGGTGCAAAAGCCAATTTTTATTTTTCCACAAATTCGGACGTTTCTGACGGATTGCTTCGCGCAAATTGCGCATAACTTGCAGGTAATATTCCTTATTTACTGTTCTACCCTGTGGCAAGAACTCATGATGCACCACGCCCCTGCAGTCAAAGAAAACTGTAAGCAAAACCTTTACATTTGATCGAACTTGGCGTGCTTTTTTTGGTCTTGGTGATCCAGAATGCCTCCACTGGGACGATTGAGTCTTAGTCTCGACGTTATAACCGTATACCCATGTTTCGTCACCTGTTATAACCCTGTTGAGTAAATCTGGATCATCGTTGACGTCATTCAGTAGCTCTTGGGCGATGCTCATGCGACGTTTCTTTTGGTCGAAATTGAGCAATTTCGGAACAAACTTCGCTGACACACGTCTCATGTCTAAAACACTCGTCAAAATTGATTGGCACGAACCAAATGAGATGTCAATATCATCAGCAATTTCTCTAATGGTAATTCGACGATTTCCCAACACTATTTTCTTCACTTCTTCAACATTCTCATCAGTTGTTGATGTGCTGGGGCGTCCAGAACGAGGTTCGTCGTCGGTGTCTTCTCGGCCTTCTTGGAAGAGTTTATACCACTTGTAAACATTTTTTTGGCTTAAAGTAGACTCACCGTATGCCACTTTCAGCATTTCAAGTGTTTTGAAACATTTGATTCCATTTTTCACACAAAATTTAATGCAAACTCTTTGATCCATGTTTTTAGACAGCAGCAAATCGTGGAGCACGCAAAACACTTCTAACCTTGATGCCTCTCACAAACAAACAAAACATACTACAAAGCTGAAATTTGGAACGTATGTTCTAGACGAGTGTACCGACATAACCAAATAAAAAAGTCGAAGATCGAACGGACGTAGCCCGCTAAATTTCAAAATTCACCTTACTTTTTGATCACACCTCGTATATGTCAGTCCTTTTTTAAATACATTTTTTTTTTAATTATGAAAAATAAGCTTCAAACATAGCTATTATTTTTACACGGCAAATCGGATGTGATATTTTTGTCTGATTATATAATAAAATGAAATAGTAAAGATTCGTTTTGTGATTCGAATAAATATATATTGTCAGTCCTTTTTTAAATACATTTTTTTTAATTATGAAAGATAAGCTTCAAATATAGCTATTATTTTCACACAGCAAATGGGACAATTCTCAAATTTGATAGCACATCGCGAAGTCCCCCCACCCTTTTAAAATATGTATATAAAAGAAACTGCTAGTGAGAATGAAATCATTCTTTCACAATGTGCTACTTGAAACATGCTCAAGACATTAGTGAAAAGGAAATTCCGCATAATCAACCATTAGCAGAGTTGCTTTTGGAGTTTGCGATAGAATCAAACGAAGAAATGTTTAATGAGGATGATGAATTGATCAATACAGCTTATGATAATTATATTCAACAGCTGTGAAGAGGACTGATACACATATATATGACAGTCCACATCGGTGGTGGATCATTCGTGATTGATCTCTGCTACTGATAAGAATGGAAATCTTAAATGATTGTTTGGAACATTTTCATGCGATTGAAGAAGCTACAAACCTTATTAATTCAAAAAATATACGTGATGAGAATCTTATAGAGAGATGGAAAAAATAATGTATTTTTTCATTGTGAACTTTGAATAAAATTTTAAAGCAATCATCACTTAGCGTGCAGCAAAAGCAATCACTGCTTAGTACTATTGGCAAACTTGAATGCATTAACTTGCTGTTAGAAAATTGTAAAGTTTGTCGAGCAGGTTTGGGTACTAATATAAAAAATCATGTGTAATGGGTTAATTTGGATAGTGCTTTCGAAAATCGTTTGAAAACTAGCATTATAGCTAACATTCAGCACATTGATATAGAATCATTTTTGAAAGATGCATGCAGTTTGTTTGTAAGTAATGCTAAAATTTTTTTAAAAAAACATAATGTTTGTAAAGTTAATGCTGTGTTTCCATGCAAATTTTGGAAATATTCGAGTAACCAAGATGAGTTGGAAAAGACTTATGACACAAAGCACTTCACTACGTAAAACATTGAAATGTATGTTTCAACCCCTTTCAAACAATAGCTCAATGATAATATCAAAAATCCATTGTTAATAGAAGTAGAGACATTTGAAAGTAACGAGTCCGGATGGTCTTTGGATTCTATTATCAATATTCAGATTAATTTTTGAGAAATAAGTATGCATGCATAAATGTGAAAAATAGTGATAACAAATGTTTTTTATGGTCAATCTTAGCAGCCATATGTAAAATTTCACATACAGATCACCCTCAAAGAATAAGTCACTATATATCACATGAGAATAAACTGATTTTGGATGGAATATCATTTCCAGTCTCCTTGACTCAAATAAATAAATTTGAAAAATTAAACAGCATGATATCTGTAATGTGTTTGGTTTAGAGGGCAAAAGAATTGTTCCCCTTTATGATACAGAAAATAAAAAATCAAACCATGTGAACCTTTTACTAATTCATCAAAGTGTTTGTGATGATGATGAAATAATATCAAATAATTATCACTATGTGTACATAAAAGACCTTGCAAAATTAGTAGGAAATAGTTTGCCACGTAGTAAAAATTAAAAAATTATTTGTGATCGATGTTTGCATTATTTTAATACTGCAGAGAAACTTGTTGCACATGATACGAAGTGTCAAGAAATAAATAAGTGTAGAGTATAGATGTTAAAAAAGGCCAAGATGTGATTGAATTTAAAAACTATGGATTCTACTTAAAATCACCATTTATTATCTATGGAGATTGTGAATGTTTATTGAAGAAAACAAATGTTGACCAGCAAGACATTAATAAAAATACTGTCACAACTCAACATCATGAAATGTTTAGTGTAGGATATTACATAAAATGTAGCTATGATGACAGTTTATCAAGATATAAATCTTATCGTGGAACAAAGCCATCAAAATGGTTTGCAGAAGAGTTAAAAAATATAGCTTATTACATCAAAAACATATACAATCATCCGAAACCTATGGATGAACTAACACCGTAGGAACTTGATGAATCCCAAACGTCAAATATATATCATATCTGTGAAAAACCAATGAATTTTTCAACGAAAGTTCGCGATCATTGTCACTTGACAAAAAAATATCGAGGTGCAGCTCATTAAAGTTGTAATCTGAACCATCGAGATTCTCATGTAGGGCCTGTAGTTTTTCACAATCTCAGTGGTTATGACGCTCATTTTATCATACGTGATATATCTAATCACTTTTCTGAACATATTGAAATTTTACCGTTAACAAAAGAGAAGTATATTGCATTCACAAAGACTACCACAGATACTGGAATCAAACTACGATTTATTGATTCATTTAAGTTTATGGCTTCATCGCTTGACAAAATAGATTCTTATTTGAATGATTATAAAATTGTGAACTCTGAATTTCATGATCATGATCAAGGAAAAATCAATTTTTTGACACATAAAGGAGTACTTCCTATGAATATATCGATAGCTGGGAAAAACTCGAAGAAGATCGACTACCGGAAAAAAATGAATTTTTCAGTAGTCTTAATGATTCTGAAATATCAGATACTGACTATGATCATGCACTCACAGTTTGAAATGCATTCAACATAAAAACTTTGGGTGAATATTGTGATTTGTAGATGAACATTGACATTCTATTATTCACAGAAGTTTTTGAACAATTTCGCGAGCTGTGTCTATCAGCGTATGATCTTGATCCGGCTCATTATTACACAACTCCAGGCTTTTCCTGGGTTGCAATGCTCAAGTTTACAAAGGTATCATTAAGACTTTTGACAGATATAGATATGCATTTGTTCATAGAATCAGGTATTCGAGGTGGTTTGAGTTAGTGCTCAGGTCGATATGGCGCAGCTAACAACAGATATATGAAAGAAAAATTTGATAGTAGCAGGGAAGAGGAATATCTTTCTTACTTAGATGCTAATAATTTATATGGTTATGCAATGACGCAATATTTGCCACAAGACAATATTGAATGGGAAGAAAATTTTGTCAACATCGACTTTTTACAAGTTGCTGATGACGCTCAAACCGGTTATATTTTGGAAGTTGATTTAGATTATCCGCCATCAATTCATGATGAGCATAATAACTTGCTATTCTGCCCAGAGCACATAAAACCACCTGGTTCCAAGCATGAAAAATTATGTGCTACTCTCGTGAATAAGAAAAATTATGTGATACATTATCAAGCTCTCAAGCAAGCTGTTAAACATGGACTCGAGCTTGTAAAAGTTCATAGTGTATTGAAATTTGAGCAATCGGCGTGGCTAAAATCATACATCAACTTGAACAGTTCCATGAGAGCGAAAGCTCAAAATGAGTTTCAAAAAAATCTTTTTAAACTCATGAATCATAGTATATATGGTAAAACTATGGAAAACGTTCACAAACATGTTGATGTCAAACTTTTAACGAAGCGGGATGGACGGTACGGTGTGGAAGCTTTTGTTTCAAAACCTAACTTTCACAGTAGATCAATTTTTGATGAAAACTTGACAGCGGTTCAGTTGCGTAAAACTCAAGTATACTTGAATAAACCCATTTATATTGGTCTTACAGTATTAGACGTATTCAAAACATTAATGTACAGCTTTCACTATGATTATATGAAAAAGATGTATGGAAAAAATTGTAAACTCCTCTATATGGATACTGTTAGTTTTATACACTTGGTAAAGTGTCTGAATTTTTATGATGATATGAAAGCTAACATCAATTATTTTGACACTTCTGACTATCCTACTGAAAACGTATTCAATATGCCAAGAGTCAATAAGAAGGTTGTTGGATTAATGAAGGATGAGTGTAATGGAAATATACTAACAGAATTTATTGGCTTGAGGAGTAAAATGTACTGTACTCGTGTAAATGGTGTTGATGCTTTAAAAAAGGTCAAAGGTATGAAGGCTTCTGTTGTCAAGAAAACTATTGATTTTGATCATTATTTGGACTATTTGCAAAATTTAAGTATTCATAAAAGAGAGCAATGTATGATCAGATCTAAATTGCACAATGCTGAAACTATTCGACAGAGAAAAATTGCATTGAGTCCTTATGATGACAAGAGACATCTAATTCCTAACAGTACTGATACATTAGCACATGGACATTACAAAATTGAGTAAGTTGTATATTTATATTTTTAAAACATAGAACAGATATATAATTAGACTCAATCAGTGTTATTTAATTTCAGAGAAAAACCATACAAGTCTGTACGTTTTCAAGAAAAAATTCAAATACATCAGATGGTTACGTGGGCATATGTACATCGAACTGCTCGACAAGGAGAATGGATGCGGATGGCTTGTGATAGAGAACATTTTAAAATGAGAATTTATCGTTTGAGTAAAATCATTACACCAATACTATTACAGAAATGTAAGGAATTTGAAATAAAGAAACATGAAATATATATTTTATAATATTTTATTCATTAACTATTCACATATCATCTTTATGAACATAACTATTATGAGATTCATCAAATCCCAACCATTTAACATAATAATGATCACCACGTTGTCTTACAACTTTTTCTATCAAATAAATATCTGGATATTTTGTCCTGAGTAATTCTTTTTCATAAAATCCGCCAGCAATAGGTTTATCTTGATAATCTTTCAAACGGTAGGTGAATGGAACTGTTTTCATAACTCTATCAATTGTGAAAATTTCTGTTGACCAATTGGGTGTATAACCTTTCTCAAAAATCTGCTTACTTTTGCTGACTCTTACGTTGCTGACGTACTTTATCACCAACTTTGAATTTTGCACGTTTTGTTAGAGGTCGATGTTTTTTCAAAGACAGTCGATTCAATATATCTGGTACTTTGGCTGCAGTCACTTCACTGGGCTTCATTCCAATTGTTCGATGTTTAGAATTATTGTATTGTGAAACTAGATCAGGTAGTATATCCAACCACTTATAATTACCATTTAGCGAGAACTTTTTCCACATCTTATTTTTTAGAGTTTTACTAAATCGTTCACAAATCGACGCTTTAAATTTACTGTATGTAGAGTATATATGGATGTTATGTTTGGTCATTAAACTGTTGAAATCTTTATTGTAAAATTCATGACCTTTGTCGAGACATATCTTCTTTGGCACTCGTCCTTTCACAAATATAGATTCCATAGCCTTTGCAACATCTTTTCCAGTTTTTTGTTTGACTGCAACACACCAAGCATACTTAGAAAAGCTGTCAATAGCACACAAGATGTACTTATAACTTTTATTCTCTCGTTCATATGGTATCATTTCAACAAGATCGATTTGCCATATCTCATCAATATCACGAATGTCAAATGATCTACGTAGATAATTACGACGAGCTGGCTTATAAAGCTCCTCGACGACTGTTTTACGTTTGTTCTCTATTTTTCTTCAGACTTCCAAAAGATAAATGCTCATAACGATAAAGAGCTTGAAAGCTAACTAACACTACTAATATATTATTTCAGCCTCTCTCAATTCTTCGATTATAGACTGAATTTCATTCACATAATTTTGATTACCAGCTGATGTTTCAGCAATTAATAATCTAAGACGTTCTACAAGCTCATTGGGATCATCCCAATATACATAATCAGTATGATTATCAAGTCGTGCAATTTTGTACGGTGACTTCAAAGAAAATCCTCGGCCAGATGATGAGTTAACTGGTGTCTCTTCAATCAACTTAGAAATAATATCTCTAAATTTATCACTTGTTTGATAACGGATATCTTCTTCAGGTTTATAATACTTTTTATGCGCAGTCGTTTTCTTTATAATACGACCATAGGTGTCTAATTCATCTTCAGTTATAATGGAAGTATCAGGTTTTTTCTTGAACAATAGTTCAATTAATCCAGGACTTTTTTCATAAGTATCTCTGCCTATGACAATTTTATCACCTTCAAAATTCAATGGTCTATCACCTATCATAAAAGAATCATCTTTCCATTTACGTACTCCATAGATCGTATCCAATGATGTTACTTGATTCCTTTGCAACATTGATAGATACTTGTTAAGGTAATCACTTTCAGGTGTGTGAAATTCAACAATATCATCATTTTCCTGAAGTTCATAAGCATTTGATGCTTCATCCAATCCACCATCTTTATCTGATAACTTTTCTAAAGGTTTTTTTTCCTTTTCAAACAATTGTTCTACATCATAGCTAACTTTTTCATCGTCATCTTCTTTTTCTTCTTTTTTAGGTTGCAACAGTTTTTTATTTTTCGATTTTTTCTGCTGAGTAAGTTTTGTTCCATCAACCAACTTTTCAAGTGGTTCAATCATAGGCTTGAAAGTTTCTTTAACAAAATTTTCACTTTCTAATCTGTCTAACTTCAATAAATTATATTTCTGTTGTATTGCTTCACGAGCTTTTTCCACCTGACGAAGATCACCAATCTGTTGACTTAAATCAATCATGTTGTCTACTTGCAATCCAGTTGATCACTACCAGTTTTATGTTGAGTTATTTGCATTTATAATAAACTTATCAAAACCTTTTCTAAATTTACCAGCATCTATTTTTCGATCTTTGTCTATCACAAGAAAGCAATAATCTTCTTTCCAGCTTGAAGAACAAATATCTTTGAAACTTTGATATGATATATCAGTATTTACATGATCATTATAGATGTGTTTTAAATTCATATCATCTTGTCGGAAAACTATTAAAAAATTCACGTTATATCTCACTAAGTGTTTAGGTACTTGAGCATATGACTGACATAAGTAAAAACAATCAACGTTTTTATGTCTTCCCATACAGTAAAATGCTTTCACATTATCTTGTTTCTCACATGCAATATCATTAAAAAGCATGATAGAGTTTGGTCGTGCTTCCTCTGGCGATACAACAAGATCATGCTCGCTGAAAGGTAAGTATTCAACACCTTTGATGGGTTCAAGAAGTTGCTCAAGAAATTTATATTTCGGTTGGTTCAGCGACTTAGAATATATATAAATATTTTCAAACTTCAAACCATTGGGATGGGTTAAAAGAGATAGAAGCGCATTTGTCTTTCCATAATTAGATGCACCACAACATACTGCACGTATGCTCTCTGGCAATAAATCTCCATGCTTTTTCGATTTCTTTTCATTCTTTTCTGTCAAAGAGTCAAAATTTATCATGGGAAGCTTCAGAGACTGCTCCTTTATATCCATTTTACATCAAACTCTGAATTAAAACTGATAAATTTTATTTATTTTTATTTATGTGATTGAATTTAAAAACTATGGATTCTACTTAAAATCACCATTTATTATCTATGGAGATTGTGAATGTTTATTGAAGAAAACAAATGTTGACCAGCAAGACATTAATAAAAATACTGTCACAACTCAACATTATGAAATGTTTAGTGTAGGATATTACATAAAATGTAGCTATGATGACAGTTTATCAAGATATTAATCTTATCGTGGAACAAAGCCATCAAAATGGTTTGCAGAAGAGTTAAAAAATATAGCTTATTACATCAAAAACATATACAATCATCCGAAACCTATGGATGAACTAACACCGCAGGAACTTGATGAATCCCAAACGTCAAATATATATCATATCTGTGAAAAACCAATGAATTTTTCAACGAAAGTTCGCGATAGAAGCGCATTTGTCTTTCCATAATTAGATGCACCACAACATACTGCACGTATGCTCTCTGGCAATAAATCTCCATGCTTTTTCGATTTCTTTTCATTCTTTTCTGTCACAGAGTCAAAATTTATCATGGGAAGCTTCAGAGACTGCTCCTTTATATCCATTTTACATCAAACTCTGAATTAAAACTGATAAATTTTATTATAAAAGAGTTTATATATTTAAGTTTTGTGCATTCATTATCAAACGCTCAAACAATGCTCGTCCATGAGAGAAAAAAGAAGAGGAAAATGGGTAGAGGGCTAGTGAACAACTTGATAAATAACTTACCTTTTGAAGTTCATAAACCTGGTTATCAGTATTGTGGACCTGGAACAAAGCTATATAAACGATTGGTTCGCGGAGACCCTGGCATTAATCCTTTAGACGCTGCATGTAAAGATCACGACATTGCCTACTCTAAAAATAAAGATATTCAAGCACGAAACGCTGCAGACAAAGTATTAGCTAATAAAGCTTGGCAACGTATACGTAGTTCTGACGCTACTTTAGGTGAAAAAGCTGCAGCATACGCTGTTACAAATATCATGAAAGCAAAATCAACTTTTGGAATGGGGCTCGGCAATCAAAGCATCTCAAGAAAAGGAAGAAGATTTCGAAAAAACGTTCCAAGAAGAGAAAGACTTTAAGTATGAAAAGATTAATCAGTATGACAAAGAAATCCATATCACCTAGTAATGACTCAAAAATTATTATTAAAAGTGCTTTAAACGCAGCACGTAAAAATATCAAAAGTGTTGGTGGAAAGAAAAATATAAATTTACCACGAATACTTCCAATCCCAAAAGTAGGAGATTTTCTACCTGCACTCGTTCCGGTTTTTGAAGGTCTCAGTGCTCTTGAATCTTTAGCAGGTGGTGCAGCGGGGATAGCTCAAGCTGTTAACCGAGCGAGTTCTGCCAAAAAACAATTAGAAGAACAGAAGAGAACACAACCAACATGTTGAAGCTTTAGCTATTGGTATAGGTCTATATTTGAGACCATATAAACAAGGTTTTGGTGTAGCCTTCAATACAACAAGTAAAGTCAAGAAGACTAAAAAAAAAAACTTGAAGTAAAACTACCTCATCATCCTCTAACAGATTGTGATATAAAGAAATATGCTCGCGAATTGCAAATTGCGAACTTTCGCGGTGTTTTTATGAGGAACTTTTTGCCAACACGTCCACGATTCAACGAGTGTGCTGTTGTAAATCTTGATGATAGTTCAGGACCTGGTACGCATTGGGTAGTATATCGAAAAAGTGGTAAAAATGTTTATTACTTTGATAGTTTTGGTGATTCAAGACCACCTCTAGATCTTATGAAATATTTCAAAGTTGATCAAATCAAATACAGTTATAAAAAATATCAAAATTATAATACTTATACTTGTAGTCATTTATGTTTGAAATTTTTATGTGATTTGCTAGAGCATCATGACAATTACCATTTGTATAAATTCTGAGAATTGTGAATAAATAATTTAGTTTTGAACGATCACTCAACATGGTTGAATCATTAACCCTCAGTTTGTCTGGTAGATCATCTATACTAGAAACATATTATTTTCCACCGATAGAACTGGATAGAGATAAAACTTGGTTTGGTAGAATTACTTACATTCAATTCGATAGCAAATGTTGATGTTGGACACAATAAGTTCAAAGTTGGTGTCATTGAAATTGAACTACCAACAGGCAGTTATGAAATTGGTGATATAGATAAATATTTGAAAGGTTACTTGAAGTCAAGAGGGATAAAACTTGAAATAAAGCCCAACAACAATACTTTATGCAGTGAAATAACTTGTAATGAACCAATCGATTTTCAATCAAATAACTCTATTGGGCGTTTGTTAGGTTTCACCAAACGGTTGTTGCCCGTCGATATAAATAATGTCTCTGACATGCCTGTTGCCATTCTCAAAGTGAACGCGTTACGCGTCGAATGTAACATAACATCTGGAGCATATGTCAATCAAAATAAGGGACATATCATTCACGAATTCTTTCCACCTGTACCACCAGGATATAAAATCATTGAAGTTCTTAAACAGATCATATATTTGCCTGTAACTGTCAAAGTTATCGAACATTTACAGCTACGTCTAATTGATCAAGATGGAAATTTAATAAACTTTCGTGGCGAAACAATCACGATCCGTTTACACATAAAAAGAGTTTTATGATGGGAATAGTTTATAATCATAAAGTAGGCAACGGCTATATAATAACTCCATCATGCGCTCAGAAAGTCAGTCATCGACGAATAGCCAAAAGTCTAACACGTCGCAACATTCAGTTCCTGAAAAATCTTGGTCTGAACGTCGTCGCAAGCGCCGCAATAAAAAGAAGAAGAAACGTGAAAAATTTGAAAAACTAACTTGTATATTTGTGTGTTTTTGTCATCTCAAAGATGGAAGAAATACTTAGTGTGCAAGCACCTATCATTTTTTATGAATCCATAGCTCACTATGAAGTTCATGCACATCAATCTTATAATTCACAAACATTCAATAATAGCGATGAAATTCGCATATTGATACAACATCAAGATTTATGTCTTTTACCATCAAAAAGTTCTCTACACATCGTTGGAAAAATAAGAAGACAAGATGGTACTATTGTTACTGAAACAAAGTTCGTCAATAATGCTATATGTCACCTATTCGAAGATATCCGATATGAAATTAGTGCCACTGAGATAGACAAATGTAAAAATGTTGGACTAACAAGCACGATGAATGGTTTGGTTTCATTGAATCAAAATCAAAGTCGATTTCTGGAGAATGCTGGCTGGCTTGATATTGAAGAAACTAAGAAGATAAATGACAACAATGGTAACTTTGATGTGTCAATACCTCTTTCAATGATTTTAGGATTTGCTGAAGACTATCACTAAATTGTTGTGAATGTAAAGCATGAACTTATTGTTACTCGATCAAGAGATAATTTAAACGCAGCCATGCAAGATACTGTCAAAATTGATAATGTTGATACATATTAGCCTCTTAAAATAGAACTCACAAGAATTGAATGGTTAATGCCGTATGTAATTATGTCTGATAGGCGTAAAATACAGTTGTTCACTTTCATTTAGAAAGATGCACCTATTTCTATGAGTTTTCGGTCGTGGGAACTTTATGGGTATCCAGCATTACCACAAACATCAAAACATCTTTGGACTGTAAAAACATCCAATCAATTGGAAAAACCAAGATATATTGTATTAGGTTTTCAAACAAAACGCAAGTCTGATAAAACTAAAAATTCTATCAGATTTGATCATTGTAATGTAACCAATGTTAAACTTTTTCTGAATTCTCAGCAATATTCATATAGAAATTTGAATCTTGATATAAGTAACAATCAATACTCTGTCTTATATGATATGTATGCTCAATTTCAATTGAACTATTACAATAGAGACTGTATGTTCAATCCACTTTTAGATCGAAAACAATTTATCACACATGCACCGTTAATAGTGATAGATTGTTCAAAGAAAAATGAATATTTGAAACAAGCTGCTGTCGATGTACGTCTTGAGTTTGAAACAAAAATTATGTGCCCGCGGAAACAGCTGCATATTGTTTGATTTTACACGATCGTATAGTTAAGTATAATCCTATAAGTGGTCATGTAACCAAACTTGTATAACTCGTATAATAGCTATGTATACTTTTTCTGAATACGTAACTCTAATTCAAGAACTTGAGAAAAAAGCACTTGGATTGAGATATCTTGTCGGATATTTACTTGAATTTGTAAAACCA